ATATTTCTGGTTTCACTAGAGGCTTTTTCTAAATATCTAAATCAGGTCATTGTTCTTGAGTCAGCTGGTCTAATGAATGAGCTTTGGCACTGCAGGCCTTTTGTGTCCAATTCAACATTTAAATTCTCCTTCAAAGGACAATAAATCCATTGGTTCTTATCACTTGTCTTATCCAAATGATCACTGATGGACCACTAAAAGCTTTAGGCTCATTATGGCAGTTAGTCATTACTATGTTCCCTGATACATGTGAGGTACCTGCCCTCTTTATGAACATGCTGTAACTGCTTTAACTTATGCAGACTTCAAAGCTGAGAATCATGTGACTTATTCTGCCCTAATTGGAGGTTCATTAAGGGACTATATATGCCTGCTGGGTAGACCATGCTGTCCTACCCCTTCCCCTAACGCAGCTAGAATGTTTTCCAGTTTCACATGTATTGTAAAAATGTCTACACGGAAAATTAGATTTGCTGAATATTCTTGAATGGAGCACTATTGATGTACACACACACTCACACAGACATAGCGTATTTGTCACTAGCTGTTCAAGCTGTGCATTGGAAAGAACAATTAGCAGTCATCTGATTCACTGAGGGTGAAGAAGTTCAGTGCTCTTGTGAATCCTGTGTTTCATGCCATATTGCTCTTTACGTATGCAAGCTCATGGCTGATGGGGGAGAGCTGACCAGCACACAGTGTCCTTGTCCTTCAGCAAATGATCCTGTCCCAGTTAGTAGGGTAAGAATGACTAAACCAGACAGTGGATTAATCATGTTAAAAGTGTAAACTTCAAGGAGAGTCTCTTCAACCTATTTGTTTAAAAAAGTGTGGTTTTCTAAAGGAAGACCTCAGGGAGGATAAGTGACTTTTAGCTTGCTAACTTGATTTTTTTCCCTTCATTTTCCGAGGTATATGTGAGTGGTAATTGAGGTATGGTTGTGGTTGCTAAGGCTTTCACGTGGTTTCTAGTTTCTAGGGTGATTACTTACTGGCCAATGCATATTTACAAATTCACCATTCTAACATTGAAATAGGCCATTCAGAAAATACATAAAAATTCCAAGGAGGTTTTTATTTGTGTGTGTGTTTTGGGGGCAAATGCACCCTACTGTCAGAGAGTGAATTTGCATTTTCATTTTGCCCGTCTTCTGTTTGAAATATAAAATACATAATGATTTATAATTTTGTCTTTTCCCTTGTCTCCTTGCTTAAAAATAGTTTAAAGGCTTAAATGTGAGGTTTATAATTTTCTAAAGCAATGCTTTTGTTACAACTGCATTATTAGAACTATAAAGTTTTTTTGGTCATCTTACAGTTTACAGGTGTTGTTTCAAAACAACATTATTACCTAAACAATATGTGGTTCTATTGTAATATCAGAATTTTCCAAAAAGATTTGATCAGATTTTTCTAAATTTGTTTAGAAAAAAATTAAGTATTAATGAGTATTATTCATATAATATTATTTTGTATTTTATTAGAGTTGAGCTACCCCTCCTCTTCATAACCTGCTTCAGCACAAAAACAGTCCACCGAAACAGGCAAAAAAAATTGTAACTGTGTAGGAAAATAATAGTACACCTCTTCCAATGTTTCACGTAATACAGGAAAAGTGCATATATTGCATAGATATTCAAGTATTAGACTCAAAATTATTGTAATATGCCATTGTTTTATTTCGGAAAATATTCTTAGCAGAAAGAGAAGATGTGATTTGCATAAGTATTCAATTTCTATATTGCAGGAGTGCGAAGTTTACAGAGAATGAAAACAAAAATATTGTTACCACATGAAAACTGATTTGCATAAGCATTCAATCTCTGTATTGCAGAAATGCGAAGTTTATACAGACGAAAAACAATTGCACTAATGAGCACCTTACAATTGACCTCTGCTTGTGAATCATTACAGTAACTGCCACATTTCCTGGATAGAAACCCTGCAGTGAAACATTATTGAAGTTGTGAATCTAAAACACATTTATGAAAATGAATCCCTTCCAAATGTAAGGTTCTTATCTACATTTTTGCTGTTAATTTGATTGTGTCTCTGCAGTTTTTCACAGTCTGAAAAATTCATTATGCTAACAAAGGAATATTACTTTTCCTCTAGATTGTCGGTCAGTAAAACAAAAATAGAAGATTTTGTGATGTTATAGCAGTGAATGCATATCACATGAAGAGTGTTGTATGGGTTTAGTTTTATTTGACAGTGGGGGTAAGGTGTGTTTGTTTCTTTCTGTGGGTGCTGCTGACTGTGTTCGTGTCAGCTAATGTCTGTGAGAGAAAAAGCAGCAGTCTCTTTCATATTCACACATGCTGTTGATCTGGCCTCACTTTTGCTTTGCTTCAGATATTTCTGCACTTTTGATGAATGTGTTGCTGTTTTTATTGTGTACGAGACTACAAAGACAATTCTTAGAAGTAAAAAAACACACTGTGCTTTTGGTCTCATAATCAGAGACCCCAGGCTTTGGAATAATGAGCTGAACACAAATCAGTCTTGATCATGTTGTTGGATTTGCTGAAGCTCTTTGGACTGCGTAAATGTGCTGCAACGAGCATGTAGTTTCACTGCAGACCTTCCTGTTACATGTAGCTATGTGTGTTTGATTGATGATGACTGCAGTGCCGTGGGAGTCTTGGGAAAAATACCCTGTTTATTCTGCACTTTCTCCAGAGCCAGCTCCGATCCGCAGGCAGTTTGATTTATACTGGGATCCAAGATGCTTTACACCAGTGCGCTCCAACTGGGAGTGTGTTTTGGTCTCCTGCACTCAGCAAGATAAGCATCATGCTGAAGTTTTTACACAAAACCAGAGAAACGCTTTCTTAGATATGGGTCCAAATTTTGCAGGCCCACTTTTTTAAAGCTTTTACGTCGTTCTCGGCCCACGCTCCCCGCATCCAGGTGCAAATGGCTTTGCCGACCTGCAAAGAACATACCAAATTATACAAGAGAGGTCATCAGATGCTGCTAATGAAAGCTTTAATCTATGCAACCCAAATTAAAACGCCCTGGTTTGGCCTTTGTTAAGAATGAGGGTAATTAAAACACTAATTGCCCTGAGGGTGCTATAAGCACTTTGCCAACACTTTTGATACTAGGATCCCTTCGTTTTATTGAAAGGATCCATTAAACACAGGCTGCATCTCTGTCTATTTCTTTGGGCAGTGAAAGATTGTAAGATCATCGTTATTTACCAAAATCATTCAGCATAAGAGCAACAAGGTTTGCCAGATCAGAACTTTTCAATATATTTGATAAAGACCCCAAAATATGATGATTTCCTTGTGAGGTACCCACATCCTTAAATACAACCCTCTCTCCCACTTCACTTCCTGTCAGCTCTGATCTGTCCTATCATAATAAAGACAAAAATGGCAAAAATAAATCTTAAAAAAAATCTATTTATACTTAATTTATACTCTAAATAGTGTTCTGTGCTCGTCGGTGCAGCCAAAGATAGAACAGTTAGCATGCTTTGCTCGAACTTTCGCCATGGGTGGAAACTTGCTGATTAAGGGGCGGTAATATTATAATAATATCCATTTTCTACGTCACGGGGGGGGGAGCAAAATCTGAGTGGCTCATTTTTTACAAACTTGAAGAGAAACGCTTACCAAAAAAATTAACAGGCTTGTTCTTTTTCAAGTTTTCTGGTTTGTTAGATGCACCAGGGATCCGATTATAGCACTCAAACACGGGAAAAAGTCAGATTTTCATGATATGTCACCTTTAAAACTGAAAAAAAAAACTTTTTAGAAAGCAAATTGAAACTAATATTTAAAATGTGTTAATATGTTAATAATATTGTGTTTTTGAACATATTTATTTAATGTATGAAGTTAAAGTTAACTTTGACTACTCTAAAAATATCTATTTTTAAGTAATGTAAATATAGATGGGCATAGATATACACATACATACATTCAAGTATAAATACCTTTCATCTCTCTCTTTCTCGCTCTCACTCCCTCGCTATACCTCTCAGCTTTCCCCTGGACCCCCTTCCAGTCCAGTTTGAAACCCCTGATGTAGATGATTCCATTTTTGGCCGATATACAGTAGACTCATCTCTTCAATAAAGATCTATAGAGCTCTAGGAAACCACTTTGGGTGATACAGGGTGAGCCAAAGAAACAACACTGGGAGAGCCAAAAACCTCTTTTGAGAAAGTTCTGCCAGAACATAATGGGATTGCATCTGACAAGATAGGAAAATACAAAGAAAACAAGAAGGAAGGGGGAAAAAACAAAAAGAAAGGTCATGGTTAGTGTACTTGTCATCAAGCCACATTCTATTTCTGGCTCCAAGTCAACACACAAGTGATTTTCCTTGGCCTCTCTCTTCCACAGAGTTCTCACCACTATGATTATATCTATTAATAATGCTTGCATTCCATCATGTATTGTTGTTTGCAACAAGACTTGTGGTATTAGCACTGCACAGCGAGATAAGGTTGCACTCAAACATGTATTTAAGGATGACACCCTCATGTAATACACCCTCTGTGTGCTGTCTGAATAATGGTAGGGTAAGTTTGCCAGTGCTGGCTGTTAGCGTTCTCCTAGAACTAATGAAAAAGGCCCCATTTCATTTAAGGAAAGTGGCGCCATAATAGGCCTTCATCCCAGAGAGTGCTTTTTCAGGTAGAGGGATGGTCTGCTGAAACACAAGAGCCTCTCATCATTAATTACACTAAAAGGGAGGCTGTGCCTTTAAAAAAAATATTATGGTCGTTTTAGTATGCACATGGGAACCCTGAATTCACCTTGTTTGAATGCACTTTGAATACGGGATTTTGCTGAAAAGCCTTTTTTGATGCTAACATTACTTCTTTCAGTGTCGTACAAACTGTGTGAACCTTTTAAGTTTTTAGACAGTGCTTTAGTACAAATGTTTTTGTGCCGAGTGTCAATATGTAGATGAAAGGCTCGATTGTGAGTGTTTCTGATTAAGTTCAGAGATGACGCTATGTTTGTTTTTCTTCCAAGGGGCTCGGGGAGGCTTCAGCGAGGGGGACGAGCATGGAAGGAGACTGCCTCAGCTGCATCAAGTACCTCATGTTTGTCTTCAACTTCCTTATCTTTGTGAGTATTTATGTGTCTGACGTTAACACTTCGCAGAGTAGTAGAGGAGTACAAAGGGAAAGATACAGACTACTCATAGAGAAATGAATGTGAGAAACTGGAGCGGTTATAATGTGGCGATTAAAGGAATAGAAGTTCCGCCTTTCATTTACAACAGCTAGTCACCTATTTGATAGAGTTTGTTTACTCTAGAATGAGCATTAGCTGGACAAGTAACTGCTTTTGAGTGCTACCAAGATGGCCACCAAGTGAATTAACTTGGACTACCTGAGACTAGCTGATATTTGACCTTTGACCTCATCATTTTTGAAAGAAATTCATTATTTTCTTAAGTAAATAATACTTAAGAAATAAAAATTAATGTTTTTTAATTAAACTTAAAGGGTTAGTTCACCCAAAAATGAAAATTCTGTTATTACTTACTCACCCTCATGTTGTTCCAAACCCGTAAGAACCCAGAACACAAATTTGTATTATTTGATCAAATCCGAGAGCTCTCAGACCCTGCATAGACAGCAAGGTTACAACTACGATCAAGGTCCAGAAACGTAGCAAGGACATCAGTAAAACAGTCCATGTGACATCAGGGGTTCAACTGAGAATACTTTTTTTGCACAAAGAAAACAAAAATAATGACTTTATTTAATGTGACAAGTGGGGCGGGGCCGAGAGCCATGGGAACGGAGCGAGGACGGTGGAGTAAGTGATAATGCACGACACCTACACCACTCACCGGTCTCCAGTCCCACGCGTCACATTTAACAGTTCCTCTCCTCCTCATCCCGTTTGCAGTGGCGCACTGCCATTATGGAGAGAGTATTATGACGCACACGCTTGCTTCCGCTTCATGTAAACAACACATGCGCGTGATGACACATGTCTGTTTTGACGTAATCAGCATTATTTACGTTCAGCATGCGCGCGCTTTCTCCTAAACGTAAACAACACTGATTACGTTAATTACGTTCAGGGGAAAGCGCAAACATGCGTCGTGGTACTCTCCAAAATGGTGGAAGACGGTAACTCGGGGAGAAGAATTGTTTAATAAATTATGTTATTTTTGTTTTCTTTGTGCACAAAATGAATTCTCGTAGCTTCGCAAAATTGAAGTTGAGCCACTGGTCACATGAACTGTTTTACCGATGTCCTTGCTACGTTTCTTGGACTGGGAACGGTACAACGGGTCTAAAGGCGCCCAGGGGTAAAAGGCACCTTTAATATTATTTTCCTCTAAACCACTAGATGGCACAAAAACCTGGCGTAGCACTTTCCAGAACATTCGCTTTTCAAGATGCACGTGTTTATTTGGCTGATCCTTGATGCGATCGCGCGCAGCAGTGCAAATTTGATTCTGTACTTACTTGATCTAATATTTTATGTTTTTAAAAATGTTGTAGATTTAAGTAGCAAATGAGATTCACTAAAATGAATGCATATATTTTGAGACAAAGGTCTTCTTAACAATTTTTAATTAAAGCAACAGTTTTTAAATAATGAAAGAATATTTAAAAGTATGGTATTTGGGGTAAAAAAAAAGTGGCCCTGCTGTTGGGGCTAAAGGCACACAGTAATTAACATGATAATTAATAGATGGCTGACTTTTACATTTGTTGACATGACTTGCTTAGATTCAGATGGTAAATATCATATATTATGTTGGGTGTCCATATTAGAGATAATCACCATGTTTAGAATGAAACCATCATATTTAAAAACATGATATTAATCATATCATATAATAAAATATAATTTGTTGTTTCTACTGTAAATTTGTCACATTTAACAGTTCCTCTCCTCCTCATCCCGTTTGCAGTGGCGCACTGCCATTATGGAGAGAGTATTATGACGCACACGCTTGCTTCCGCTTCATGTAAACAACACATGCGCGTGATGACACATGTCTGTTTTGACGTAATCAGCATTATTTACGTTCAGCATGCGCGCGCTTTCTCCTAAACGTAAACAACACTGATTACGTTAATTACGTTCAGGGGAAAGCGCAAACATGCGTCGTGGTACTCTCCAAAATGGTGGAAGACGGTAACTCGGGGAGAAGAATTGTTTAATAAATTATGTTATTTTTGTTTTCTTTGTGCACAAAATGAATTCTCGTAGCTTCGCAAAATTGAAGTTGAGCCACTGGTCACATGAACTGTTTTACCGATGTCCTTGCTACGTTTCTTGGACTGGGAACGGTACAACGGGTCTAAAGGCGCCCAGGGGTAAAAGGCACCTTTAATATTATTTTCCTCTAAACCACTAGATGGCACAAAAACCTGGCGTAGCACTTTCCAGAACATTCGCTTTTCAAGATGCACGTGTTTATTTGGCTGATCCTTGATGCGATCGCGCGCAGCAGTGCAAATTTGATTCTGTACTTACTTGATCTAATATTTTATGTTTTTAAAAATGTTGTAGATTTAAGTAGCAAATGAGATTCACTAAAATGAATGCATATATTTTGAGACAAAGGTCTTCTTAACAATTTTTAATTAAAGCAACAGTTTTTAAATAATGAAAGAATATTTAAAAGTATGGTATTTGGGGTAAAAAAAAAGTGGCCCTGCTGTTGGGGCTAAAGGCACACAGTAATTAACATGATAATTAATAGATGGCTGACTTTTACATTTGTTGACATGACTTGCTTAGATTCAGATGGTAAATATCATATATTATGTTGGGTGTCCATATTAGAGATAATCACCATGTTTAGAATGAAACCATCATATTTAAAAACATGATATTAATCATATCATATAATAAAATATAATTTGTTGTTTCTACTGTAAATTTGTTAAATTATTATGGGATCTCCTTCAATGCTTTCAGAATCTTTTTTTAATGATTTTGTTTCTGTATTTAAAAATATATATATATATATTTACATATATATATATATTTATATTAACATATTTTAATGACAGTATATTTATTAAATAAAAATTAATTATTTTATTTTTCAAAATAAGCAGAATATAGTACAAACTTTGCTAAAGTGATTATTTTATATTTTGAGACAAAGGTCTTCTTAACAATTTTTAATTAAAGCAACAGTTTTTAAATAATGAAAGAATATTTAAAAGTATGGTATTTGGGGTAAAAAAAAGTGGCCCTGCTGTTGGGGCTAAAGGCACACAGTAATTAACATGATAATTAATAGATGGCTGACTTTTACATTTGTTGACATGACTTGCTTAGATTCAGATGGTAAATATCATATATTATGTTGGGTGTCCATATTAGAGATAATCACCATGTTTAGAATGAAACCATCATATTTAAAAACATGATATTAATCATATCATATAATAAAATATAATTTGTTGTTTCTACTGTAAATTTGTTAAATTATTATGGGATCTCCTTCAATGCTTTCAGAATCTTTTTTTAATGATTTTGTTTCTGTATTTAAAAATATATATATATATATTTACATATATATATATATTTATATTAACATATTTTAATGACAGTATATTTATTAAATAAAAATTAATTATTTTATTTTTCAAAATAAGCAGAATATAGTACAAACTTTGCTAAAGTGATTATTTTGAACAAGTATTAACTTAGACATTATTAAAAAAAACATTATTTTAAGTATTTTTATCAATACTGTGTGCCTCCCTTGCCACCTCATACATTTATAAGATTTTTAAACAAAATAAACGACTTGCATGGTTTATGTTCACACAAAATCCATTAATTTTTAATACAAACTTATATTTTTTATAATTGTAGGTGCAGTGAAAAGCACATTTTTTCTTAAGGTGTGCCTTTAGCCCTGTTTCTCTTTTTAAAAGTATGCTAAAGTGTACTAATTTTTCACAAAGATATTCTTTGACTTTATATTTCCCCCGAAATTCAGCCTGTAGACTGTTAGGATTCACAGATTTGTAGCAGAACAACTACTTGTTTAAACATTTCAAAGCTAAAGAGGGGAAGATACAGGGAGAGAAGGAGGGAAGAGACAGCAAATGCTTCTTTGATCATCTATCTAGGTTGACAATATAAATGGTCACTGTGGGATTGGCATAGACAGAGAAAGATTTGGACTCATTTCGTTTGACTGAATTAATTATATCCCAACAGCGAGAATAATGTGATGTACACACGTAAGTGCAACGCCAACAATAAAATAGCTTGTTTTTGTTCAAAAATGCTAATATAATTCTCTGAAATCCATTTAATAAGCCGAAAACAGCTGCTCATATTTATTCAACCCTAAAAACGATTAAAACACCAATTTAGTGATACAGTCAAGCTGTTTATGACTAAAATAGCTGCTGTGACAGGACTCTGCTTGACAGACACATTGCTAATGCCATCCATGAAAAGAATCCCAGGTTTGGCTCACAGGAGAGAGAGACTGAGGAACATGTTTTTGTGTGAGGCTCTTATCTCAAAACCCACCACACAAACCCATACACACACACACACACACACACACACACACGCTTCTTGAGCTGCTTAATCACCAGTCTGGTGTCTGCTCAAACCTTCATCTCTGTGTGTGTGTGTGTGTGTGTGTATGTATGAACGATGCTATGGAGGAAGGGTATCACTTTGACAGGTAGAGGATTGTGGGAAGCTGCAAAAGGAACAGTAGCGTTTCCCAGCCCCCACTCGACTGTCTTTGACTCGCCTGTTAAAACTCCTCAAGCTTCTCTATCCATTCACCTTCCCCCTCCTCTCTGGAAGCATTCACTTTCAGTAGCCGTTTACTCAAAAATGATTTATTTTCAGGAGTCGAGCCCATTAGTATTCTCTCTCTGCTCGGTAGCACGTTAACCTTTGTGTTCACTTTACCAAGTAATGTGCATACAACTCAGCAGTTTGTGGTGCATGATCATTTTTCATATTTATCACAATCATTAATCCTGCACTTGTAAAATAATCAGCAATCATGATCTTTTTTAGTTCATGTTAAAAAGTGTTATTTTATTAGAGGATGTTAAGTGGATATTACTGCATATTGCTTTCATAGAATGTGTCTTGAATGTAAGAATGTAATTTTGTGCCATTAGTAGAATCCTTTATCTGAAATAATTCTACTAATTCACTAAAATACCAATGGTATTATCTGATGTGTAATCATGTTAATACTATGGTATGTGAATATGATTATAACAAGGAGCTAAAGGACCTTTTTTATCATACAACATTAAATTCCACTAAAAATAATAATATGGGTACTGTGAAAATTAAATGAAAATTACTAAAGTTGCTACTGAAAATCCATGAAATTAGATATTTTTTTAGACTTTCTGAAGATTTTCAGCCTTGTTTAAGGCTTTTCAGTCACTGATGATTAAGTAAAAATATATTTTCCATATAAACAAAAATGTTCCTTTGTTGAAGAGACTTAAGCCCTCAATAAAAGCCCTATTGTTGCCAAAAACTGAACCAAAATGCTTGGATAGGAAATGGGGAAGATGCAGAATGGCTGAACTGTAATGTTTTTTTTTTTCCATAATAGGTAGGAAATTATTTTGGATGTTGTGAAGCGTGTGTGAAGTGGCCCCATGTTAACTGATCCAATCACAATGAAGATTCATTTGAGATTTGTATGCCTGGACCAATATTTTAGCATCATTCAAGGGATAGTTCACCCAAAATTCATCATTTCATCGAGATATTTTGAACAATGTTGGTAACCAAACAGTTGTGGTTACCATTGACTTCCATTGTATGGACAAAATAAGCATTTTGAGACATTTTTCATAATATGTTCCACAAAGAAAAATCATATAGGTTTAGAATGGCATGAGGGTTTTCATTTTTGGGTGAACTATGCCTTTAAATGTTACTCCTCAAATTTTTATGTGTCAAACTATTTGCATTTGACATGAAAATCACTATAGCCCCTTTATCAACCCTAGGTAAACGTCCCTAATTTTACTGTAGACGTTGTATAAGTTTAAATAAATGCATTGAACTTTTAATTTTGCCTTTCATGCAAATGAGAAGAAATTGATTTCTTTTTTGCTTTATAAAAAAGTGAAAAATAACACAAACTGTAATATAGTAATATTAAATGGCTTTTTTTCTTTATCTCTCCATCTCCACAGCTGGGTGGCTCCTTCCTCCTTGGTGTTGGGGTGTGGGTGGTGGTGGACCCCACGGGTTTTAGGGAGATAGTGGCAGCCAACCCCCTTCTCTTCACGGGTGTCTACATCATCCTGGCCATGGGGGGCATGCTTTTCCTGCTGGGCTTCCTGGGCTGCTGCGGAGCCATACGAGAAAACAAGTGTTTGCTGCTTTTTGTGAGTCACAGTATATTGGAGGACACTATGTTTCAAGCTGCTGACACATAGGCTACATACAGTACATCAATGACATCTATGGTTCCATAAAGAACCTTGAAAACCTTTCCATTGGACATAAGGTTCTTTACAGTGGAAAAAGGTTCTTTAAATTATTCAAATGTTTCTCACACTAAGAAATGAGTGGTTCTTTTAAGAACTCTTCACTGAAAGTTTTTTTTTGGGGAACCCAGAATTATTATTTTATGACATTGTTGTGCAAACCCATTTAGAGAACCACCATTTTTAAGAGTGTAGCAAAATACAGTCCTGTTTCATAGCAGTTATATTCATACAGACAGGATTTAGTCTGTTAGTAAATACAGTTGTCTGACCCAAACACAGACTGTGTGACAAAATCCTCCTCTCTCTGCAGTTCTTCATGCTGATCCTCATTATATTCCTGGCAGAGCTGGCGGCAGCCATTCTCGCCTTCATCTTCCGGGAACATGTGAGTGACCATGTCCAACATGTTGAGGCAGCTTCATGTTTTCAGTGTTGGCGTGCTGCTAATATCTCTAATATTTTAATTTGTGTGTGCGTGTACAGCTGACCAGAGAATACTTTACTAAGGAACTGAAGAGGCACTACCAAGGCTACAACAACACTGATGTCTTCACATCAACGTGGAACGCCATTATGAATACAGTAGGTCTTGTTTGTTCCTTAAACTTCAGCTACTGCGAATCAATGTTTACCAAACTTATTTGACCCATCAATACCTCGAAAATTAGCTTATTTTAACTAATATTTGCCTGGATCCTCTGTATCCCTCTAGTTTGACTGCTGTGGAGTGAACAGTCCAGAAGACTTTGAGGAAAGCATCTTCAGGTTTATAAACCCTGGTGAAGTGGTGCCTGAGGCCTGCTGCCGTAGGAATAGTCATCTTGGAGAAGCAGGCTTCAGTAACAGGGAGGAATGCCTGTCAGGCAGCATGCTATACCGGAACAACAAGGTGGGCTCTCGTGCTTCTGTATACGTCACATCCCCTCTGCCTGCTCAAAAGCTCATAGCTCAGATTTAACTAGAGCAGAAAAACAGGAAAAGAGGAATAGGGTTACCACTCAGCTTCAGCTCTCCCAATGCTGACTAGTGCTTTTCCATGTTCTCAGTGTCTGGGGAATGTGAGTGCGTGTGAGAGTTTCTGTGAAAGCGAGCAGGGGCAGTAAAACTTAAGTAAGGGTCCGCATGGGTTTTTAGACAGATGTCCTCTAGTCATGCATACTTGTATTAAAAAGTTACAAGTTGACTCACACTCATAAGGGTTTGGAACTACATGAGGGTATTTGTAAAATAGAAAATTTGTCATTTTGAAAAATGTTTACCCACTTCACAGCTGTTTAACATCATAATTATGAAAAAAACTTCACTATAAAATAGTCCATATGACTTGTGTGCTGTATTCAAAGTCATCTGGAGTAATTTGATAGTCTTGTGTGAAGAAAAGGCTCATTGTTGAATCATTGTTCACTGATAATCTTCGCCTTCAGTCAGATGTTCATCTGATATCAGATCGGAGTCAGTTTGATTCTTGATCAAATTGTCCAGTACAGTTCAAAAGTCAAATTTTTTTCAAAGCAGCTGTAACAAAAGTCATACTTGTATATCTAATGCCTTAGCGATCCTCTAGATTTAGATGTAACTATAGTCAAGATGGCACCATATTTCATTTTTGACAGGAATGAAAAAGAGACTGTGAGAATAAATGTGCAGCCTGTTCAATTGTACTGTTGTTTAACAACATACCAATTGTTCAGCTGTATTGTTCTATTAAGAGATTGAAATATTGGTTGGTTTTGTTCTAAATGAGATTAAGCAATTGTTTGAAAGTATAAATGAAAATATGATCAGTTGTTGCTTGTGAGAAGTCTGAAAAATTGAAATGAACTATAAAAAAAAGTCTGAAAAAAAAACTAATGGAAGAGATCAAAGCAATGATTCAGTCACTCATTCAAACTCAATGAACTGGTCACAGCAGAATATAGTGTACAAGACGTATGCACTTTTTTTAGAATTTTTTTTTTTTTAGATTTAGAGACAACATGTATAGGTGTCTATATAATGGCATTATTTCACAGAATTGTACAAATAAAAATATTATTCTTTCTGTTTGGATCTGCAGGGCTGCTATTCAGCGGTTGTGGACTACTTTGAGATGTACATCTATGTTGCTGGTGCCCTGGCTATTGTTGTACTCACGATTGAGGTATGGCATTTCATGATGTCTGTTCCACTGACATTATCTCAGAGAATAGTTTAAAACTGTTGAAGATAATACAGATCTTAAGAGAATGGCCACAGACACATGAGATGGAGTTTAACAGAAGAGAGACAGTCCTGTAAATTGAATCACTGCTGCCCTCATGTGGTAATGTGCTGGAGGCAGACAGCAGAAGTGAGTGACTTCTGAGAATCATCATGCTATACAATACAAATTAAAGGGATAATTCACTCACAAATGACAATTCTGTCATTAATTACTCACCTTTATGTTGTTCCAAACCCGTAAGACCTTCATTCATCTCCGGAACACAAATTAAGATATTTTTGATGAAATCCAAGAGCTTTCTGACCCTCCATAGACAGCAATGCAACTACCACGTTCAAGGCCCAGAAAAGTAATAAGGAAATCATTCAAATAGTCCATGTGACATCAGTGGTTCAACCGTAATTTTATGAAGTTACAAGAATACTTTTTGTGCACAATGAAAACAAATATAAAGACTTTATTCATAGGTCTTATGGGTATTACTCAGGGTGAGTAATTAATAACAGAATTTACATTTTTGGGTGAACTGTCCCTTTAAATTGATTAACAGAACAATTTTCAATTTAGCAGGGAAGGTGAATTAAGCTTTTTATAACAAGTGAGGGGCCCTTAAGATTAAGAACTAAATCAAGCAAAACTATTTGAGTGATTCATAATTGTTTGTTTACTTTCATATGGATCTATATAAGATGTTTTTTTTATTTTCTCAACAGCTTTTTGCAATGGTGTTCGCCATGTGTCTGTTCAGGGGAATCCAATAGATCAAGTTCACCGAAAGACTTTTTCAAAAAGGAAAACACCACAAAAGAAAACTGAACCACTTGTCAAAGAATGTTTTACTCCATTTTATATCTCTAAAATGATTAAAGAACAAACAAAAAAAGAATCATTGACCTGTACTTCACAGCTGGACCTTTGAGGTACAAGGTAACAAAATAAAACATTGACAAAAAAAAAAACATTGTTTGAATACTGCGAAGATTTAATGGGCTTTTTGTCATAATGCCCATGTGTAATTTCGACCAGGTGTTAAATAGACCAGATAAAGCCTGAAAAACAAATGAAGAAGGTGCTGCACTGATTTTGGATGAAGAATATTTATACTGAGTAATGCTGGCTTGTTTGTATAGGCATTTGTGCTTTTAGTAAAAACAAAAATAAAAAAAATAGAACAAACCACTCCTGTCACCAAGACATCACCACAGTCCTTGAATGCAAGCTTTCACAAGCACATTATATTAGTGTTGTATAGTCATGTGAATTTCCATTTTTATCTATTCCTGTGTGGATGTTGGAGATCTGTGTGTGTTTGTGTGTGTGTGTGTGTGTGTGTGTGTGTGTGTGTGTGTGTGTGTGTGTGTGTGTGTGTGTGGGGTGGATGTACCTCTCCCGTGTTTGTGTTGTATAGTCATGTGAATTTCCATTTTTATCTATTCATGTTGGAATGTTGGAGATGTGTGTGTGTTTGTGTGTGTGTGTGTGTGTGTGTGTGTGTGTGTGTGTGTGTGTGTGTGTGTGTGTGTGTAGGGTGAATGTACCTCTCCCCTGCTTGAAGACCAGCATTTTTTTTTTCGTATTGTGATGTTTATTGCAATAGTAATTCTATGTGATTTTAGCTGAAATTGATGTGTATGCGTTTGTATTGAAAATAAAACTAACATTAAAGGAATCTCTGATGAACCATTTGCTCAGAATCTCAGTGTCACTATAAATATCTGACCTTTGGGAGTCTAAGGCTGATGATACATGGGGCAACTGTTTGAGCAATTTTGCCGGGCAACTTTTTTTGAACAATGATTCTTGGGCACTTTCCCATAGATGGGTAACAAATTTCTATCTGGATACTTGAGATCGAATGTGCGCCCTTGCGTCTCACCTGGTTGCCTGATGATGCCAACATTAAGCAAAATTGCCCGGCAACATTGCTCAGAACATTTCCCCCTGCCCTCGAGCCTAGGTCTGCATGGATTTGTTTTTGGACCTGCCACAGCAGAGCAACAATATGACATGAATTATTTGTTTCTCTCTCCTTTAAGTATATGCCTTATGTTTATTTAGTTTTTTAAATCTAAGTCAAGCACTTTCTCTGTTTTTTTATTATTACTATTATTATTATTATTATTATTAATTGTCAGCTTATGCCGAGTTCACACTGCACGATTTTCAAACTCGTCGGATCGCAGTTGTTTTCACACTGCGTGACTATCTGGGGTAGCATTCAGTTGCTGCTGTGTTCACATTGCACGATGGATCGGCGACAGGGGGTTTCACACTGCATGACTTCACAATAGGAAGAATCGCCGACAGCAAACTATGTTTCACAACAAAACACACGCGAGAAGTGATAAGGAAATAACGCGAGAACCTGCGTGCGTCAGACCAGAGTTCTCGTGAGCAGGGGCGGATTTAGTGATTTGGGGGCCCCAGGTAAAATACAGGAATGGGGCCCTATACAATTTCACACATTTACAACCTTGAGGTTGCTTTCACTGTTGCTCGCTGCTGCACGATCGTGTCCCATAGTTGTGTCTAATCTTTTAGCTTTTTCATGTACATGTTATAAATAAAGGATTTCTTTAATGTTGTAAATCCCTTGTTCACATTTAAACAGGTTATAATAGTATTAGAGTAGGTTGGACACTAGGTGGTGCGTTGGGGTAATTTTCACTATGCAATTGTCTACACAACGCAAGGCTGTATAATTCTAAACTTTAAAATATACATTTATTTTTTATTTATTTTAATTGCACATTTAAATTAAACTGAAGGAAATTATACATTTACATGCTTAAGGATTATTTCAACCAAACTTGAAGTGTGCATGTGTGGAAAGTGACTGTGCATGGTCCTTCTTGGGTCTTTCACAAAAACGAGTGAGCGCCATTTAAAAAAATTAAAATAGGCCCTATATAATATGCACTGTTGCTTAGTATTAAAATTATATCTTCAGATGCATGATATCTGTAGGGCCCTATGAAATCCTTGTGTAATTAATTAAAATCATGAAACTTGTTTAATTTAACAGCAGTTTAGGCCTATTAAAAGTTTAACAAAAATTACATTCTTAGGGGCCAAATTATGCGCTTTCCATTTAAATTTTTCTGTATTCCATTTGAATGGTTTAATCAAAAACATATCTAATTAATTGAATTCATGAAAACAACTTCATTTATTAATTTGTATACAATAATAGGGCCCTATGAAATCCTTGTGTAATTAATTAAAATCATGAAACTTGTTTAATTTAACAGCAGTTTAGGCCTATTAAAAGTTTAACAAAAATTACATTCTTAGGGGCCAAATTATG